TTACATTGTGACCAATAGCATCACTATATTCACACCCTACATGTTATTGTAATAATCTTTGTGCGAAACATGCCTGGTGAGGTGGTATTTAAAAGGAATAACTCACTGATCATCAATATTCTTACATAATGTATGTACGATATGTGTATTAAGAGTTATGAACATAAGCTGAAATGATGACAAAAAAGTGTTTACCGGACAAGTCTGGGAAGGGGGTAAATGGGTTTCTCAAAGACAAAGGACAAGCTGATGCCTTTAGCCTGGTGCCATCAAAGTTGATTGGCAATAACTTGTCAAGTGTCCATTCTTTGGCAACAAAGCAGGGCAGGAACAGATTGCTCTGCATTCTAGCAAACAACATGGAACCTCTTTCACCACGAGACTTCATGTCTCTGTCCTCGCAGCTGTAATTAACTTTATTTAGGGGTAACCCCCAGGAAAATGCATTTCAGAAGGGTGAAAAAGAAAGAAAGAAAGAAAGAGCTGGAAGGGACCCTGAAAGGTCATCGAGTCCAGCCCCCTGCCTTCACTAGCAGGACCAAGTACTGATTTTGCCCTAGATCCCTAAGTGGCCCCCTCAAGGACTGAACTCACAACCCTGGGTTTAGCAGGCTAATGCTCAAACCACTGAGCTATCCCTCAGTGGACTATAAAACTGAGAGGGCAAAAACACCCCAATCTCTCTCATTCACTCACTCACCTGAGAAGACAAAGGAACCAGCCCTTTGACTTTGGGGAGAAATCCTGACCTGAGAATTTGGTCAGCCATATTGCTGGGAACCCAGGGTAAGGATTTTTCCTTGAACCAAGTCTAGCTTGTTAAAACGCTTTGTAGTAGCTAAAAATGATTTTTATTTCTCTTGTAACCCTTTCTGACTTTAATATCTGATACTTGAATTCACTTAACATCCTATCTTCTTTTGTTAATAAACTTGTTTTATATTTTAATCTAAACCAATCCTGTGTTTAAACTGAACTGTTTGGGAACTCCAGTTAAAGTAGCAAGCTGTTGAATATTGACCCATTATAGGGACAACAGACCTTTAATATTTGAACAGCTCAGGAGAGGGCTGGATAGTGCAGAACACATATTCTTGAGGAAAATTTGGGACTGGGAGTGTGTTGGGGCCACCCTGTAAGTAGTAACCCAGGCTGGTGGAAGTCAGAGTATGACTGGAGTGTTGCTGACAGGTTCTGGGGCAGAACGGCTGGGCCAGGACTGTAGCTATACACAGACATTCAGGATGTGACCAGCACGCAGTCTGGCTGTTTGTGAGAGGCCCAGCTTGGGATATACCACAGCAAAGCATTATCAGGCACCCGGGGTTACGGGACAGGTGGTGACACAACCGCTCACTGGTCTGAATTGCATCCTGGAATGTGACATACATGTACCTGAAAAGCTATGGACTGATAGTATTAGACACCAGATCTCATAGGCAGTGGCAGTGGAAACCTCCCTACACTTCCCTACTAATGTCAGTCTGTTTTGGAGGGACATATGGTGAAATATAATCAGGTTCTATGCCAGTTCATTCCTTGGCCTCCCAGTTCATGCTACCAGCAAGGTTGCCAGTTGCTTCTATTAGTGATATGCACACTACTCAGTTAGGAACCGGACTAGGAAATCAGTTCATTTCATATATACCATGAAAGAGCTGACAGATGGCAAAAACTTGCAGTTGCTATCAAGATTTATATTGGACACTGAAAGGTGAAAGGGTCTGCATCCTATTATCAATCTGTTGAACCATCCAGGTCTTTGAGCCTTAGATATTTAAGTGAGAAGTTGATGATGAATGCACACAGCAGGCTGGCTGGGGACAAAACCAGAAAGAAAAATTTGTATTTAAAATTTCACATAACGTACTTTTAATTGCAAGTGCATGTGCCATCTCTAGCGTTGAAACAGTGCACCTTCACAGGATCTTTCAACTGAGACCATAAAACACTTCATATTTTATTATCATGACACTCCAATAATGTGTGAGACTATAATGACCATTTTACATATAGGCAAACAGAGGCATGAAAGGTTAAGTGACTTGACCAAGGAGATTCACAGAGTCACTGTCACAGTCTAGAATAGAATAGAACATAGGAGCCCAGAACGTTTGTTCCCCTGCTCTAACCACTAGACTTATTACCTATTTATGTAATAATATTTTCTGTGTGTCTTGGTTGATTGGGTACCATGAAAAGTCTGTTTCCCAAAGTATGAAGAATGATTTCCTTACACTGAGGGACAAGTAAACCTATATGCTTTAGTTAATGCTGATAATAGTAATTATAATACTTAGCACTTACACAGTGCTTTATATTGTCAAACTGCCTGGCTGACATTTAAAAGCTGGCTCTGCAACTTTAGTTATTTTAGTAGCATAAAATGTATTCATATCTTTGGTTCTTCTAAGTGGATTCTACTAGTGTAAATGGTGTATTCTGTATATAGTGTGAGATGTGTACTTGACACTTCAAAATATTAATAAAATGTAAGTGCAGTAGATGTTAGATATTTGCATTCTGATTAGTTGCAGTAAGTATACATTCAAAATAAAGGTAAATGTATACTCCAATGCAGATTCTGCATGGAACAGAAGCAACATATTTCTCCTATGAATATTTGTACTAACACAATAAGAGTTTAAATAATCATTTATATTTTGTCAGTTTTATCCTCATGTTATCTGTAAGTAAGTTAAAATTAAACTGTGTCTTCAAACAAATCTGGGACTCTGGATGCTGGCAGATAGCTAAACAGTTGATGAGTGGTTGAGAAATACATATATTTTAAAAAGCAACAGAGGGTCCTGTGGCACCTTTGAGACTAACAGAAGTACTGGGAGCATAAGCTTTCGTTGGGTTGAACAATGCATGTTCATAAGCGTAAAAAAAATAGGGGTTTATACCACCCACATGATATTACCACCACATATC